AACTCTGACTTGGTGTTCCGGAAACTGCAGCACTTAAGACTTGACACTTCTCCTGGCCCGGATATGGTTCATCCTGCCATACTGAGGGAGGCAGCCTCAATCCTGGCAACGCCGCTTAGCGTAATGTTCTCACACTCGCTAAGCCGGGGCAAATTACCGGGAAATTGGAAGTTCTCTCACATCACACCAATTTTCAAAAGAGGTCGACGCAATGAACCTTCAAGTTATCGGCCGGTGGCTCTTCTGTCGTTACCTTCAAAACTCATGGAGTCCCTGATATGCGACGGTTTAAACGACTATCTACTGTCCTTAAATTTCTTCTCACGCCAACAGCATGGTTTCAGGAAGGGCTACTCTTGTATAACCAACCTGCTGACTGCGGTGGACAGATGGACAAACATCCTCGATCACAAGGGAAAGGTTGATATCATTTACCTTGATTTCTCAAAAGCTTTTGATAAGGTTAACCACTTGTGTCTTATCAATAAGCTCAAACAACTAGGTATCAAACCACCTCTAATCGATTGGCTTACTTCATACCTAAAAAATCGACACTTTAATGTTAGAGTTAATTTCACTTTATCTCAGGCTATGGAATGTCCTAGTGGGGTCCCCCAGGGCTCAGTACTAGGGCCTCTTCTCTTCTTGATCTACATAAATGATCTTCCTCAACAGGTAACGTCAGACTTATTATTTTGGCGACGACGTGAAACTTTGGAGAGAGATACGCAACCAAGACGATATACAGGCACTTCAGGAGGATCTGACTCGACTTCAAAATGGGGCAGACGATAACGGACTTGCCTTTAACACTTCAAAGTGTAAAGTAGTCCATATGAGACATGTCGCAAACTACAGTTACAACATAGGAAACTCCTCTCTAGTAGTATCCCAAGTCGAAAAAGATTTAGGAGTCCTGATGCCCCATGATTTGAAGTCTTTCGCTAACTGTGACAAAAATGCCTTCCGAGCAAACCTTGCACTGGAAAAATTGAAGCGCATTTTCGGACAGTTTGACGGAAGAACCTTCCACATAATCTTCAACAGTTTCATCCGTCCCCATTTAGAGTACGAAACATAGTACTCCCCCCTCACTCCAAAAGCACAAGGTCACTTTGGAGCGTATCCAACGGCGAGCCACGAAATCAGTTCGAGGACTCAAATCTAAACCTTACGAAGAAGGCCTCCATTCACTAGACCTTTACCCATTAGAGTATAGGTGTCTTAGAGGTGATTTATTAAAGGCTTATAGTATTCTTAACACTTCTGGACATCCTCTTAAACACCTACATAAGCTTAGTTCGAATAATAACCTAAGGGGTAACACCCAGAAACTGGAAACACAATATAGCAAAACGGAATGTAGACAACTTCTACTCCTTAAAAGTTGTCAAAAGCTGGAATTTGCTGCCGGCCGAGCTAGTCAAAGCGACTTCTCAGGAGTCCTTCAAGAGGCAACTTGACCTATTCTTAAGGACCAAGGACAGCATCACACTATGATTTACCAATTTCTTTTCCTCTTTTATTGTTAACATACCTAGGTTCCTGCCTGGAGGATTTGGTGATCCCCTGCTACTAGACACGGAAGCCTGTTAAGCGAAAGCTTCTTCTATTCCGTCCACAACCATTTGAACCACTAATCAAAATGATAATCGTATGAATGATTGTGAGAAGGACTGAACATTCGAATGGTCAGAAAAAAAACTAATATATATATAGAAGATATATTAATGGACCAATATTCTACATATATTCTTGTTGTATAACTATTCAGTAACTTGACTGTGTATATTTATATTCATCTTATAAACTTCATTTTGACCTAAATTTTGTTATAAAACTTACTGTTCTTAACTTATACTCAGTTTATTAATTACTGTCTCCCATGTTCACATCCACTTTTTGACTTTATTGTGTATAAATGTTATTTCCTATTTATTGGTTGGTATATAAACCAAGTATGTCTGGAGAAATGATTAGCATAGCGGAAGCTGTTATTGATATTTTGGACTCAGATGGACGGATTAGGCGAGCAAATAACCAATGAGGACGCTAGGTTGATAAGACCAGTCGAACGTCATTGACTTAACACAGTACAAGAGTGATTAAGTCGTATTTCGATTGGCGAATAAATCACGTGATAACTAACCGGACTTAAATACACAACAGTATATGGGTAAAGCTGGAACTTAGCATCTAGAACTCATTAACACCCCTTCGGCTGATTGAGACATATCACTCAATATATCTGACCACTGACTGGTCATCAATAAGTTCATGACAACAAAGTGGTCTGCGTTTACCAGCCAACATGGTTCAGTACAACACAATTTTAACCTAGCGATCCCCAACATTTATGAAACTTGTTCCTATTAGCATTGTACATCGAATTACGCATGGAGATTCTACAGCCAGAGTAATACAGAAAAGACTGTTGAGTCTCACCCTCCCCTATATGTCGACAAACAAACAATTCTATGCCCAACGTGATAAAAGTTGGTTAATATCAAGGTATATTTCGAATCCATGGGGAAAGATCATTATTAAAAACAAACAACCAGGGCTGACGAGAGCTGAAATAGTGTCCAGATAGTTTAAATCACGTAAGTTTAGTTACTGACGTAAATTAGTTCAGAAGCAACATTCCGGACCACTAAAGGAAAGCCATTTAAAACCTTGTACGACCATTCTAAGGGCCCAAATGACCCAGTATTTTGTCAGCTTCTTCGTCGAATAGAATGACTCACCTGCAAATTCTAATAATAGATGGGACATCTCATAAGAACACGTTCAAACATTTACTGTCCGAACCGTTCATGTGAATAATAAACGATGAAAAGATGTCTTCTGCATTGACGGTCACCAAATATTTTAGCGGGACATAGACTAGATTAAAGCATGCTCAATGCATGATTGCTTTGGTGCACGCTGACTGGCTAATTCTTATCCAATCAGCACTAGTCGGAGAATACTCTGGAATCTTCTTATGTAAAAACTATAAATATACTGACGTTTTCCCTATTGTGCTTCTGACTCGCTTCTTACTTGCATCTAACCTTGTTATTTGGAATATAATCTCTTCCTGTTCAACCGTGTTTTGATTTGGGGACTTGTCGAGTGAATCGGTGTCCGAGAATACTAAGCAATAGGAATAGCTGGGTCATAACCGTAAGAAAAGAGAGATATAACAGAATATCTACGAATGTCTGTTATAAACCTGTAAGGAAATTTGCATCGATCGTTGGAAAAGGTTTGGTACATGACGTTTACACCGAGTGACCTTTGATTTCTTAGTATTCTAATTTTTTTACAACTCTGAGAACCAAGGTGCTGTCTGTAGTTCGGGGTTTTCTTTGGAAACGCCGATTAGCGTCCTGCAGATTGTTTAACAACCGCCAAGCCCGCAGCTAGTAGTGTGAATAAATTGGTATAGTTTTCAAGGGTTACCAAGTTCAAAGACTGCTTCCAAGTCCGAAACACACCGACCACTTTAGTTCAGTCATTAAGAAGGCTTCATGAACATTCCCCAGTGCGCGAACTTCAGTTTAGTTAAATGAATATTATTACTACCTGACACAGAAGTATGGTTTATAGCTAACACAAATTTACACGTCGTACACGTCTTAAAAACTTTAAGTAACCTACACTACACGCAGTATAGTTGTATGATGCTCTTCGATACAAAGCAAATCTAGATAACACATCTGGTACAAGGATAGGCTATTGGTAGCTAACATAAACCAACCTTTAAGAGATATAGGATCATCCGGACGAAACCAATTTTAACAATTAAGTGTGCGTTGATAGCAATCGAAAATGTGCATGCCACATGAAAACAAGCTGCTCACAGACATGCATTGCAATAGAGAATGTAAACAATGTTTTGAGATCCACTTCATAAGGCAGCGAGGGGACGTAAGATATAGTACCAGAACTGTCCGAATACATTCATTCGCCTACCCAACGACCAGAAAATATCTTATTAGTACATTTCATACCAAAAACACCACCACTACAACTACTATAGCTAGTCTGAAATGAAACCTGTTACAACTGACAACAAACTGGGGTCTCAGCACATATCATCAAAGCACAAGCAATGTTAAACTAGTAATAGATATCATATGTACATAGTACTTAATACGCAAACTGAACAAAAACAAGATTAAAGTTACATGCAACATGTTTACAGAGTTTTAGTGTGGTCAGGCGAATGATAACACCAGATCTCAAGTTGAGAATTGGGAGAAAATTCGTGTTTGTAAAGTACGATTAATGACAGATGGATAGCCATTTTTCCGAATGGAAAATATCTCTAGGTCAGTAAAAAACGTTGAGATTCTAGTAGAATTATAAAGGATGTTAATCATTATTAATCCAAACAAGTTCAATCTGTCATACGTCAGCCAGAAGTCTAAAGGCAGGAACAAACAGCTCAGATACTTCATATGAAGAAAAGTAGTCAGCCTCCGATACTTCGAATTACTAGGCGTAAACGTTTCGTTGTCTAGTTGCTAGAACAAGATGCATAGTAGCAAAAAACTGTCAAATCAGCCTAATTTAACCACTTACATCTTAAAGTTGTTATAGCCAAAAGCTTTTACGTTCATTCCACTCGTGAATGGATAGTTAAGCTGCTGAATAAGCCAGACGAATATAAACACTATGAGACCCCAATAGTTGTGACCAGATATCCAAAATGAAAACAAGCAATACAGACCGCGTGTTCAGTGAATATAAGTTATCAATCAAGGTATAACATGAATTAGATCGTTATCCTTGAAAGTATTGCGAACAACCACCAGTAACTATATAATAATACTGACACTACAATCACAACAGTCGACGCAAATCACATCACTGATGACTGGTCAGATTTCGCTGATATATTTAATAAGTAGCAGTGTGTGGATCGTATTCAATCAAACTTTAAGTAGACATACAGTATGCGTATATATATATATATATATATATATATATATATATATATATATATATATATATATATATATATATATATATGTAAGGGATGGTACTTATGAGCATAGATATAACAAGTCAGTACAAGTTTATATGCAGCCGACACATAGCAAACTACAACAGCGTTTATGATAACGAATTTAGCGTCCAGGATATAAGGAACTTAGGTAAAATCAAACAGCACTTTTATGATCCGATTTTGACCAAAACTTTTATTACTTAGCACTTAACAGCAAATACACGTGGAGGGAAGGCACGTGCCTTGCGCATTGAACGCGCAGAATGAATTGACTGCTCTTTCTTACTAAGTCTTCTGCGTATTGCTCTGGTCTTCTTTGGTCTCAAATCTTTGGGAACGTATTTCTTGGAACGATAAGCTTCACGTTGGCGAAGTTTTTGCGCTTGATGAATAACTGTATATACACGGGCAATGGACTTTCTTAGTGTCCGGCTAAAAGTGAGGTTTTTATAACACTTGGTAGCAATAAAACTTACATTTTCTTCAATTTTCCATGATAGGATGCGCCTCTCGTTACCCGATACAAACGAAGATTGCCAAGTTCCGTCTTAAGCTCTCCAAGTTGCTTCTGTAGTTCAGGCTCTGGTTTATTACGTAGCTTTGACGCCCGTATTTTAGTCTAAAAGATACCCAACAACAACACACAACCTACCATGCTGAGTTTAAAATTCTGCCACCGAAACAAGATTATACAAACAAGTTGTCTCACAACAAATTATTTTCAAAGTTTAAGCATATAAATCCAAATAGGGTGCACATTATGTAAATTTCTCATGATAAACCTAATGTATCCGTTTTGTCTCAATGAGTAGAAAAATTAAATTTCACGAAGTATAGTGCGTCAGTGTAAGCCGCTTTCTTAAAGAATAAATAAATAGAAATGAATCAATCCAAGCTTAAATATTACAGAGTAACAAAGTCTGTTTTGTGTAGTCATTCATAAACCAGTCTGATTTATCCACTGTCATCCCACTTCGGTCATTGAGGTTTGTATATGAGGTACGTTTTTGTTGATGTGTGTTGCGTTTGCAATATGAAAAGGTAGACCTAAATTCGTTTGTATTATAATGGTGTTAGATGTAAACAGAGTGAGAAATGATGTTAAGAATGGATAGTCTAAGTGGGATGGATGATAAAGTTTTTTCTGCTGAGGGTTGTAGAATTTGGCCATATATTCGAGAACTTCACTAAATTCCCTATCATTGGTATCAAAAGAACCAGTTCGCACTATTTCGATATTTTAATGTGTAAATGGCATGTACTACTGTTGTTGATTTAATTTGAAATCCTACAATTTCTGCAGGATTATTAGGTTTTCAGTATTTGGTTGGGTGGTATTCGACTCTAATCAGTAGTTCACGAAGTGATCATCCAATATCTAAATTATCACAACTGACATACACTAAACTTTGAACACAGTCCTGTGTTGGGGTAGAGCTCGTCTTATCCTTTATACTGACTTTAACACTGAAGTGTGTTTGTTGTTTTTAGTATGATGTCATTATGTGGTGTTTTACGATACATCGAAGTTCTGTCGTACCATGACGTCATGGTGGAACTATTGTACTAATACATAGAATCTCTGACAAATTGGTACTTGATAATAAACCTTTTCGTTTCAGTTCATTTTTAATTATACCTGTCGGAAAACGATTGAACTGCAAAATCTTGTCCATATACTTTCGTGCCTTTCGCTTATTCTATTCATATCCGATAATCTTTTTTGCTCTTCTAAAGAGACACAAAGTTAGAGGGAATTTTTACATTGAGTGAGTGCTCTGAATTGAAGTCGATATAACGATAAAGTGCGTTGGTTTATGATAAGCAGTTAGATTACATTTCTACCAGGACTCCTTTTAACTAACCAACATAAAATGATAGCTGACTGTGTTCCATTTTCTTTTCGTAAGTTCATTTAATGTTGAATACAATTGCGTTGATCAGTTTGGTTAAAGCTCTGTGGAACAACATTTACACGATCGCGAAGGCATCACCCACATACCTAGGCCGATTCAATGGTCTGATGTAACTGACGAGAATACTTGATTCTACATTTGCCACGAATAGACAAGCTAATTTTGTAAATAGTTTTTGATGTTGTTTGTATTTATTCTGTCAATTTTTTTCACTGCATGTACATTTATCATTAAATGATTGTACGTCTTGGTTAAGTGTATGACCTTGAACACTTCCTTCCGTTGTGTTACTTTCATAGCATGACACCCTGTTAACTGCTGACAAATACACTGTCACACACATACCTCTCGTTCTCCAATCACTTGTGATTGTGTTAAGTGAACTCTAAACCAAATACAGTCTACATTTATAGACTCTAATCAGAATATATCATAACCTACGTTGTATTACACCACTGCGAGTTCATCAACCTTACCGGAATTATCAGTCATATATAATTGTGGATTTCTGGTACCAGACTCAATCAGAACATGCGCGAACCTGTTGAATTAAGTAACGTCCCTCATTTTTGTTGTGCTTATATCATTTAACTGATATATATGTTTACATTATTATTTGTACTTCATAACTCTGTTATCATTTTTGAGTTCATATATTGTTTTGTCCATTACGGCTTTTCGCCGAGACATTTAAATTGTACATATGTTGGGATGGTTATAAAGATCTTTTAAGCCTTAGTTATAGGTTTGGTTTATGGAATCTAAGTAAACTATAAAAATGTGACATATTGCGTGGGATAGAACTTGAGATGGACTATGAAGAGTGTAACGACCGAACAGCCAATATTCGGTTGGAACAACGGACTGACGAACCCAAAATTTATTCGATTAGACCAGACCAAGTTCCTCTGTATAGCCCACAACGCGTCTTTGAGATACTCGTATTATATTATATCAAAACACAAACTCTGTGCTCAATATAAACGGTTCTAATTAAGAAAACAGAACAAATTACATCAAAAATACAAAATACCTCAAACGGTACAGCCTGTGCTATACAGTCAGAAGTTTCTCTAACGCAAAGTAGCGCGCTAAACAATGAAAGAGACAGTTAATACTAAAGGGTTTGATACCTGAGAATCAATACAAATATTCCCAATAAGATGGGATCAAATATCTATCTGCAGGGATTGCAGCAATTCTCCCAAGCAGACAGTCAGAAGGTTAACAGTCACAAAATGAACCACGCCGCGACCTTGAGCTTAGTCAAACACAACCTTACTGTCAATGGTCCGGCAACATGCAATAGCAAATTAGGTAACAAAAATAAGTCTTTAATCAAAATCACATAATAAAGGCTCAAACGGGGAAGACTTAAGAACAAAAGACATAGTTAAACGAGATCGAAACAAAGGTTGGAATACACAAAAAGGGAGAAGGAACAAATAAATGAAAATACTGTTCAACAAAGAAACTGAAGAGGGATTTTCACTGTTCTTTTTCCGTTACAAAGAGATCCTAGTAAAGGGTTTTAGTTCTTGCAAAAGTTAAATTTTCTGAGATTTGACTCTATTTTCAAACATTGTTTTTTGATCAGTCATTTACCACGGCTTTGTGGGAAACTTTAACATCACGCCCCTTTTTATTCACAATTACAGTTGTATTGGATTCGTCAGCTTTTGTAGTTAAAACAGTCTTGTATTGAATGTAGAGCAAGCAATAATTCTTCTGAAATGTTAGATGTGAGGCTTTGTGAATCTTTCGTGCCTTATAGTAACCCTCGTGCTATTGATAGAAGAAACCAGACAAGTAGTGAATAGGTCTTTATTTCGATCTTAGCGCGGTGACAGTGGAGCATGGGATTATCTGTTCAGACAAACAAAGGCTCTCAACAGTCAATATAAGATAATAGGGAATATAACGCTTATACAAAACAAGGAAGTGAATGAATACTTGAACAATACTGTTTTGGCATATGCTTGGTTGTTTGGGGTCAACTCTGAACCAACCAACCTAAGCTGTTACATTAGCTTCCCCCTAGAATCGACTTCCTTAGGAACGTCGGTTCGATTAACCTAACTATCGAAAACGCCTTAGTTCTATTTCTCATCCAAAGGGAAAATTACCAACCCGCTCACTGTTTGGTTTACAATCAGTGACGACTGACGCTGTCAACGATAGTCCATGGATGTCTCTTCATTTACTAGCTTGTCATTTTATTTTGTAGCATGTGATTTCTTCTACAACTATCGCCGATGGTTTGCTGCGTGCTTTCAAGAGAAAGTTTGAGAATGTGGAATAAGAGTATCTGAGGAAGTGCCGCGACCGGGCTACCCAACACCATGTTGGTGAGGTACGATTTTTCCGTGCTCAGACCGGCTATCAAGTGTTTACTCACCTGCCTCTTGAGTCGCCCTCAAGTAAAAAGTAAAGAAGAATCTACTTCAAAGGTAATGGTGAAAATCAAGCAAACCTGAAGAACTGCTCCACTGCCTGCATAAAATAATAAGACATAAAATGGAAATACATAAATGTAATTGATAATTGTTCGGTTCCATATGTGCTTGGTCTTCAGAACGGATTGGTATTCTGGAAGAGAATAGACATAGTGTAGATATCTTGTGCACGAAAAACCATGAAAACAAAAAAATACTCTATTGTAATGCATATATGTAAAAGGGTGAACTTGCTAGAAGTTGGACTCTTTAACAAAATCGATCAAACGCATGACCTTGAGCCTGTGACGACCGCGTTTTACAACTAGGTGCTTAACCAAGGGTGTATCAGAATACTCCACAAAACGGAAAAGAATATACGGTTAAGAAGCAAAAAAAAATTGTGTAGAGTATGCGGATCAAGTACAGTTGTGTCAAATACCCTTTTCTTGTTTGATTTAGGTATGCATGATATATTGAAGCAATATATCGTCAATTCATCCAAGTGACGAATTTGCTTGCACCTCAGAAGTGTGTAAGTCCTATTACTCATTAGTATTATGAGTGATTAATTGGTGTAAGGAAATATTGAAGTCACTTCCTCCGTGGTCTGATGTGGCTTAACGGCTAAGCACGCGGTCTAGCATTCAGGAGGGCAGAGGTTCGAGTGCGTGTGGGGCCTGCGTTTTTGTTCACCAGACCCACCTTCAATACGATGTTTGTTGCCCGTAAGTCGCGCACATATGAGAGAAAAAATGACAAGACGACAGATTGATATATCAAAGTGCCATATTGGAAAAGTATAAGTCCTTTGTTTACATGAATATTATTACTATAGAAAAAAAACTACAAGTTTAGTAAATTTCCATTTTACGTTATATTTAAGACAAAGAATATATATATATATATCAGTTATTGACATAAAATGTCTTTTTTATAACGCTAATGTTAAGTTCCAGGACTTTGTATGGACCACTAATAATAATTGGTTTAACGTTAGCATAGTCGTGATATTCATATTGTCAGTTCGATGTTATGATTACTAAACAGTTGCCTTATAAGTTGTTTAAAATTAGGTATGTGGAATCAATGCGGCTGACATAGTAACCTTACAGTAACGCACTGTACTATATCTTCACGGTTATTGATTCTTAAATGTCAGAAATTTAAAAAAATCTGAATATTGCCAATAAAGATGGGTTATATGATCACACTGAAAAGCATGCTGCAGGGAAACTGGTTAAGTCATTACGTAAGTTTCCTAAACATGAAAAAAAATGATGAGAACTTTAATAAGTACTTGACCATGGTTTGATCCAAAATGTCTTGTCTAGAAAACTACTTATTAATAGTAGTATTAATCGTATCAAGCTACTAAACATGTAGAATTATAGTCTACTATGATATTAGTACTGCTCTAATAATAGACCTAATCCTAAATTTGTAGATTTGTCATGATATAA